ATGGTAATAGATCCCTTTAAAACTGTTTGATGCACGCACCAACACACAAAATACTTGGTGTGCATTTCTCGACCACAAAGTTTCAAGTTTTCGCAAAACGCCACGAAAAGCGGAGATTGACGGTTTCGCTCTTTTACGGTGTTGCACGAAGGAGGGGAGTGGAGCGGCCGCCTCCATCCGCACAATCCGTCATGGCGCGATGTATTATATCGCGGCGAGAACCGGGATGCGATCTTGTGCTGAATGTGCCGGACCTGGACCACTGGCCCGTGGCCAGGGAGGGGAAGGGCGGGGGGAAGAAAAATGCTGCCCCTCGTATGGAGATGGCGCCCCGGTCACGGCGAGATAAATAACAGCGCCCTGTTGGTCGGCTGCCCCCCGGTCCGACGAGGATGCTGCCGTGCAGCGTTTCAATGCGTTCAGGAATCGCACCATGGAGCCGTGGCTCACGGGGCGCGCGAAGGGGGCTGTTCATCACCAACCAATCTAGCTGTCGGAAATGTAACCTGCAGAACCGAACAATTGGATTTTATTCCGTTTTCCATCGTTTGACTATAGATGCGCTCTTTAAGGAATGTAAACTTAACATCTAAAGAAATATGGAGCAAACAGTACGAGTTTGTTTGACAAGAAAAGAAATCCGCAGGTATGGAACAAACGCACACCGTTACCTTCTGGATAGTTTTATCGTGCCCCTATGACAAATTTCACGTTAGGCTGCTAAGGGATAAGCCAAAATGTTAGCATTTTAGTCGATAGGGAATCGACACATTTCTGTGTTACTTGTACAGAAGCTTCATTTCTTCTCAACAGTAAGAGGGGGAAAAGTTTATATTTTGGACATTTTAAAATGTCAAAAAATTTATAGAGTAATGTGATGTAGAATTTGAGGGTGCATTATTTTGTGTTTTCAACCATAATGTAAAGCATATGAGTCGACATATGAATTTCTGCCAGATAGTAGGTACCTACCTCACCTCCACACCGGGCTGGATGCGCGATGCGCGCAAAGCCACCTTAGCCCTCTATAAGCCGCTGCTAACACCCCCTCCTCCTTTCCACACCCCTACCTCCCCTTCTACATCCCTCTCTTGCAGCGTGTTTATGTCCGATGGGAACCCGACGCGCAAGAACGCCACCGTATATGGTCTGGACCGCCCGCCCGCCTGCCCGAGGGCTGGGCAAAACACTCGGCGCCCGCGTCAGATGGGTGGCCTATCTCCCGGGCGCAAACAGACGCGGTGGGTTTTATTTCCTTGGTTATCGGGCGTGTGTGTGTGTGTGTGTCCCAAAGTGTCGGACATCAGGGTTTTTATTCGCTGCTCAAAACGCCGAGAGCATCGAGACGAACATCCACAGTGTTGTGCTTTGGTGAAGTGTCTTCCAGCCATCTCGAAGTCGAAACCATTTCACCGTAATGCTATATAGGCCTCGTTCATTCTTCGTTTTCCAGCGTGAGGCCCATTTTGCATCTAATGTTACGCATTTGTGAAATTGAACTTATTTGACCGAAATTTTTGCCTAATTGCTTTTTTAGCCCGCCCTTCTGCTTTTAAAAAAGCATTAAAGCGGGCTTATGCAACCGCTCTCGTGTCCGTCCGTCCGTCCGTCCGTCTGTCCGTCGTCCGTGTAAGAGGAAGGAGATGAGCTAGAGGTCTGCAAATTTTAGGGTATCTTAGGGGTCACTCCTGGACAACGAAACGCCTGGTGCAAATCCTAGCAACCACCCCTAAGGGGGTGAAAGGGGGTAACAAAGAAATAGGGGTTGGTCCAAAAAGTAGAAAAAAAATATTTTTGTTATGGTCTCCTAAGGGGTAA